AACAAAATCACACCTTTTTAGGACTGTCGGCACAAATAGTGCCTCCCAGGACTACGCCTCTCTACACGAGAAGATCCGACTTTGTGCGTACGCCTGAAAAATCTGATCCCTGCCATCAACAAAGCCGATTACATTCTAACCGGTTGTTCCGCTGGATACTATATCAGGTTAGTAATATTTTATTTACAGGATACTGTTTCCTCTACAATTCCAGTATGTGTACTCAAGAAGTAGGGAGAAACACTCGACTACGTGTCGTGTTTCTCTTACACTTCTTTTGTGCTTTAGCTGCCTGCTGCAACAGAAAAGAACACACTCAAAGCTTTTTATTTGGTGATGAACTAATCTACAAAAACGTTTTTTAGCTAATTTTGAACAAACGTTAATAGTATGTGTGTCTATGTAATGAAAAGGTTTACTTGTTTCTTTGTTTTTGCTTAAGGTAATGCTGTAGTAAAAAGTTCCTCTTGCACACAATCTACCGTAAGGTCCTAAAGAAATTAGTTTTTACTTACGGGGCGCAGCCGAGTATAGACCACGTCCAACAACTGTTGATTTGTTAAGTCGAAGGTTTAATGGACCTGCGGATGAAATTTGGCCATTAGGTTCTCTTACCAGCTATTTTTCACGGTCTCGAAGGAGAATCCGTTTTGATGAAAACAATGACGGCTGGCAATTTAACTTGCTGTTTCGACATTGATAGCCAACATCAATTAGAAAGATATACTCATTTCCTACATCATCGCCAAAAGTTTCGGAGATTAAAACTGTATAGTTTCATGACTTAAAGAAATTCATACGAGTTAAGTAGAAATACAAGTACGTTCAATACGGAAGTCTTGAACGAAAAGCCTTCCTGGAACATATTCGTGTGCTAAAAATTGCTCACAAATCTTCCATACAAACCTTTTACACAGTGTTTTTGTTTTGATCTATTTTAAACTATCTCTGTTTAAGAGCTTTTTATCTGCAACATGGTTTAAAGGATGTCACCTTAAAACCACCTTTACTTCAATAAGCCAACCACCCTTATGAATGGCCCAACTGTGAAAAACGTCTTTTAATGGCATGGACGGGGAAGCTAACAAGTGTTACGTTCCTGTTTTAAATTTTGACCTCAAACACCATCCCAAGGTACGATGGCCCATTCTAAACACGCAAGACTTTATGCCGGTGTTCTTTATCGCCGAAAGACAACACTGCTTCGAAGTAAAAAGTTCTCATTTATTCCTTATGGTAAATAAACCCATTTAAACGGAAACAGAGGCATGAATAATAAGATTACCTCGTTTAATTAGGTAATAATGAGTACCAGGTATGTCTTACTATGATGATAACATGCATGAAATTATTTCGCGCGTCTGATTGGCCGTAACAGGGGTGCAATGTTGTAACACGGATATAAATTACAAATAGCGCGTGCGCTGGCAAAATTTCGCCCGTCTTGACTTTATGTGATGCGTTTTTCATGTAAATTGTTAACAAATAACAACATAATTTCTTGTGCAATTTGGTGTAAATAAGAACTTTAAAATTTTTTGACGACAGAAAATTGCCTTTTGAAAAATTTACTTGTGTTCATTAAAACCAAATTGCACTCGAAATCATGTTGTTACCTGAACGAAAATAGTATCTAAGAATACGTGATAGCTATTGTAAGTTTACCTATCACCTAGTTCGTTCTCTCGTTCTCTTAACACGAATTCACTGTAGTACACATTTTCCATGTTCTTTTATTGTGGCAATTCGCCTTTAGTGAGCTTTCAGAAGGATATGTTTTATTTATCATCTAGAAGTGATTATCAATATGTTGACACCTAGAACGTGTCAATAATTTTATATGTTTAAATCTATAGGGGGACTTATTTCTTTACAAAGTTTTTTGTCTATGAAATTCATGATCAGAAATGAGTTCCTTATGTTTCATTTTGGCGAGATCAGTTATCTTTCTGGGTGGTTTCTCTTCAACGAACCTAGGTGAGTTTGATTCACTAACTAGGTCTTACTCGGAAAAGGAACGGTTCGGAACAAGTTGGCCCAGTAATTGTCATCTTTATAAGGCTAAAGGAGCCGTTCCAGTCAAACTTAGAGAGTCGTAGTTTTTAAATCAAAGGCAAAAGATAGGAGAGCGGGTAAGCAATTTTTTTTCCTTTGCAAATTATATTCCCTATAAATCCCTATACCATTCATTTCAGATCTTATAATAAGATTTGTATACTCCATCGTCAAAATATGCCAAAATGATATATCGATATTTGTTTGAAAAGGGGGGTTGTTATGGGTCCGTGGTTCAATATGGCAATGTGACGAACAGAGAAGATTGAGCCATTAGCGTGGAAAAGGCAAATAGATAGTTTTCTTCTTCCACTTAAAGGTGGTTGGATTTTTGTTAAGGGTTCCAATTTCAAAGCAATATACAGATTCCGCCAATGCTGACCCTTTTCATAGAGTACTTTGGCATTATCAACTGAACTGATAACGTAAATTGGCCGCCGTAAAGAGTTGCAAAGCTGACGTTTCGATTGTTAGCCCTTTGTTGGAGCGAATGTCGAAGCGAATATTCGCTCAGAAGGAGGGCAAACGTTCGAAACGTCAGCTTTGCTACTCTCTGCGGTGGCCTATTTACTTTATCAGCCCACTTCTTAGCATCAAATTATCCTATTGTACTCTTCACCAACGCAGCATCGCAGTTTCTATAGAAACTTATCCCCTTTATTCATTTGACCCTTTTCATATCTTTGAATAGCCTCCAGGAGGGTAAGCAAAAAAAATTTATAGGCTCCGCTACTCTCTGCGGTGGCCTATTTACTTTATCGGCCCACTTCTTAGTATCAAATTACTCTTCACCAACGCAGCACCACAGTTTCTGTAGAAACTTATCCCTTTATTCATTTGACCCTTTTCATATCTTTAAATAGCCTCCAGGAGGGTAAACAAAACAAATCTATAGGCTCGAGAAGCAAAAATTACTGTCATTACTTTTGTAAAAAATACATGCGTAAATAGCCTCCCTTTCCTTTTCTTGTAGAGCTATTCAATTATAATTGTCCAATAGGAAATCCTTTTGATAGTGGCGCAAAAACAAGGAGTTTTGAATACGTTTCCTGCTGGCTTATTTGTCAGGACATTTTGGGAATTGTTTCAGTTTTCATCCGGGGGGTTGCTCTTATAATTTTGACATAAAACGACGAGAACACAGTTTGACTTATTACTCGGTTTCTACCTTACAGCTTAAGAAATGATCAAGAAGTACGCTTTTCTGGCCTTTGTCGTGGTTATTCTCTTAAATTTCGCCGTTGATAGCAAATGCTTTCTTGGCCCCTACCGTAGCGGAAAGAGGGGATCAATTGCGAAAGGAAAGGTTTGTGAGTGCTCTTTTTTCTTTATTTCAGATTTGCGTCTGAAAGATTTAGGTGACGGTAGGCATTCAATTTATTCTTTTTTTCTTTCGCTTCAGCACGAAACCATAACTTCAGTGAGGGATACAATTGACGCAACAGACGATAGAGGAATAAATAGAGAAACTCATGTTCCGTTGAGATTTTTTCAAGTTCAAAAGGGTGGCGAGTAATATTTGTCGTCTATCGAAAAATCTTGGATGCTGGAAAATGGAGCAAACTCAACGATAAGGAAGGAAAAACTAGTTAAATCTTGAGACTCATCATATGCATAACAACATGATATCATGTCGATTACGGTTAACAGGATATAGTGTGATTCTTTTAATGGCGACTTTGAGGATCTAATAAAACTTACAAATTTCGATCAGTTTCAGTATTTCATTACTATCCCTCCAAAGGTTTAACCAATTATCGTTGTTTCCTCCGCCTGTCGAATCTTAAGTAAAATTTCATTTTAATTCAAATGTTAACTATGTTATCCTTTTCGCTGCGTCGTCCTTCGTCCAAACTTCATCGTGATTACCATTGGACTTTATGCTTGGTTTTCCTCCACACTCACAACACGAAGCTGCACAGTTCTTAAGCTGAGGAATAAGGCAAAAAGCAAGTTTTCATATGCAACTGTGCGTTCAAATGTAGAAAGTTAAAAGGAAGGAAAATAGATTTATTTGATTTTCCCTTTATTCTTATCTTGTTTATCAAAAGCTACGTTGTACTGCACTTTTGTTCTTCTCAAAGCCGTGAACTACATAATTATAAAACATCACGGGAGCAATTTATTTGTTTTTCCACTCTTTAAACTTTGAAACGTTTAAAGAACGATCAGAGGGCTTTTTTCCCCTATGATTCCTATACTGGATGATATTTTTATGAGACACTACATGAAAAGATGGATGAATGAATGGATGTAACGATTGATGGGTGGATGGAGAGATGGATGAATACTGGATGGATTTACAAGGAAATGAAGGAACGTACAAACAAACAAAGGACCGACTGACCGACCGAGCGAGCAACCGTCCGACCGATCAAATGAACGAACAAACAAACGAACGAACGAACGCACGCACGAACGAACGCACGAACGAACGTACGAACGGACGAACGAACGAACGAACGAACGAACGAACGAACGAACGAGCGAACGAACGAGCGAACGAACGAGCGAACGAGCGAGCGAGCGAGCGAGCGAGAGAGAGAACGAGAGAACGAACGAACGAACGAACGAAAGAACGAACGGATGAACCAACGAATGAATGGATACACCCGTTCGAATTAAGAACTTCATTTCTTTTTTAAATCCTAAATCAGTCTGAAAAATTGAAACAACCGAACTTATCAGGAAAAATTCCAGAGTTTACTGGGGTGTAAGATTTTCAAGCGATAAATACAGACCTTTCTTTTATAAAGTATCTTTTTTCCATACGGTATGAGATTTCCAAAGCTCTCGCCCTCAACAGTTAGCATCCCTACTACAAAAAAGGCACACAGGAATACGGATCGTTCGATCTTCATCTTAAGCTTTGGTATAAGACCGCGCTTCTATGATACCTCATAGTAAGGCTTTTTATTCTATTGCAGCCTTAAAAGCCCACAGAAAGTGATTGCGTAAAGTTATTCTAAAAGCATCATCCCTGTAAATAATCCGGGAAAATTAATGAAATAAGGGAGACGGGATATAACGTTTCTTCACATATCCAGAATAGTAGGCGCTTGGTGCATTTAAAACTTTATTTAAATGACTCGCTAGGAAATATAATTCCAGGAGGTTAAAGGACGAGCAAGAGGGAAACGAACACGAAAATAAAAGTCAAAATCATACTCACGAATGTCTGGCTATCAAAATTCCACCTAAGCATCATTATCTTTCTTTTTATGTTTTAATAACGAGAACTGGATCATTAAAAAATCAAGAGAAAACGTGTTCTAATTACTAGAAGGAATATGTCGCAAAATTCCACTTCAGACGACATCTTGGCGTCGCGAAGCTTGACAGAATTTTATTGTTCGCATTTACAGTCATTACATGTCCTGGGTTTTTAAAATTTCCACGCACGCAAATCCGCCTGGATGTAACAATTAATGATTAATGCACAAGCGAGAGAAACACGCGCGGCGGAAATAATGTATTGAAAAAGGTACACCAGGTAAGATTCAATAGGTTATACCTTGATGTCTTACTAAGTTTTTCGGTTTTTTATATCTTTTGATAAAGATGAATATGAATAGATGGCACCCAGCACGAGATGAGTTGTTGCGTGCAGTCCTTCAGAGACTTTATTACCTCAAAAGACACGTAGGCGTCAATTTACCAGTTCATCCCTGCTGATAATCTAGTTTCACCTGTCAAATTGGCTTATCCTGTTGATAGTGGCTATTGAGTGATACCTACATTTGCATCATAAAACACGTTTTTTGTCTGCCCTTTTTCACAAGATAAACTCAGCTGATC